CTGACTTTGTGGTTCGCAGCCCGATTCGTAACCATGACCAGAGCTCCACTCATCACATTTTATTTAATGCTTTGTTGTTAAGTGCTGTTGAATGAGTTCCAACTCATGTATAAAGTTTGTGAGGAGCAGCTGGTGGGTTTGAACCATGGATCTTGTGGTTAGCAGTACAGTGCTTACTTTACAGTGACACAACAGAACTCCTATTTAATGTTAGTAGATAATAGTTTATACCTCCATATTTATTTCAAGTCCTAGTGTGGTACTGTAGGATAGTCACTGTACTGTTAACTGCAAGATCAACAATTCAAACCCACCAGCCACTCCTTCAAAACCCTATACAGGGTCACTAAGAGTTGGAACTGACTCATCAACACTTAAAAACACATTTAAAACTAGAGAAGTACAAAACCATTATTGACTTTACTGAGAAAAAGACAAGGTATACACTTATGTAAAAGTGTTTGCAATTAAGTAATATGATTCTGTGTTCAGGGGGAGTTTTGAGAAAGAGATCATAGTCTCAGTTATGAGCTTTAAGGCAAGTATCTTTATACCTATGTGCCTCAGTTTCATGTAAGTATTAAAACAAAGAGATAATATGACATTGTGTTTCCCAAATCTAAAGGGAAGATGTATGTGGTGTGGTGCACGTGTATATGTTTTCATGGCCAGGGGAGGAAATGTAGTAGTAAAATCCTTGAACAAAGTATAAAAATGCTGAAGCTTCATTATTTTTCTCCAGGATGTCCATGGAGTGTGTGTGCTGGTGGCATCAGGTTTGAAGGTGTATTCAGTAAGGCTTTGGAATTACTGGTGAGCCTAACTCTGGAAGTAAGGAATCCTGGTATAGCACTGTAGGCTAAGCATTGGACTGCAAGGTCAGTTTGAACTGCAAGGTCAGGGGTTCAAACTCACCAGTTGGTCCTCGAAAAACCTCTACACCAGGGGTGGAGAGCATCTGGCTCAAGGGTTGTGTAAGACCCTCAAAATCATTTGGTCTGGTCCTGCCAGGGCATCTGCAATTCCAGCCATCACATTGTTGTTGTTAAGTGCCATCGAGTCAGTTATGACTCATAACGACCCTATATAGGGTTTCCAAGGAGTGGCTGGTGAGCTTGAACTGCCGACCTTGTGGTTCAAACCGACCTTGCAATCCAATTAACCCACAGCACCACACCAGGACTCCTAAGGATGAGTTAATTATATGTTTGACCAAATATAGCAGGTTAATGGTTAAGTCGATAATTTTGTATGGCCCATGAATGATGTTATAAATTGTGGCAGAAAAAATATTCCTCACCCCTGCTATATAGGGTCGCTATGAATTGGAACTGACTCAGTGGCACTTAAACAGCAATAACTAAGAGAAAGGAATACAGAGAGTCCATGCTTCTCACAGACACACCCTTCATTTCAATTACCCTTGCCCTCTCAAAACCTAGCAGAATCTACTGTGCCTGATGCATGTAGGTGCTCTGTAACTGCAGAATGAAAGACG